CGCACACCGGCCTTCGACAAAAGACGTGCGACCGTCCAGTAGAAACGGTCGCACGTCTTAGTTCACACTGCTCGATTCTCGTACGATCGTGGGATTTCGCCCGATTCTCGTACGAGAATCGAGCAGTGTATGGGCACCTTTACACTAGACAGGGGTGTGGTATGGATTTGGCAAAGAAACAAACAAAAAAGATGGTGTGGAGTGTCCCCCTTCACATCAGAAGATCACTTTCAAATCAGGAGCCCCGTTCACATCCGAGTACCCTTTCAATCAGGAGCCCCGTTCACAACCCGAGATCCTCCTTTAGCAAAAATGTGAAACCATCCCATTCTCTTGGCCACACAAAAACGATTCATAAGAATCTGAGATCCTTGGATTCAATACGCTCATCCCACTATGCCCCTGGAGAGCTTGACTGCCATTTGACCCATTTAGTTCCCTGAGAGTTATTTTATAGGGGTGCCTGGCGCTACTTCCTATTTCCTCTTTTCTCCGATTCTAGTATTTTTTCACCATTGTTTCACTCCTTCCTCCTCTCCTTTTCACCTGTCTCAGACCTTGATATGCCTGAGTCACGCAGTCCAGGAATTATGAATATATGTTTATATTAAGTTGATAACAGATGCCTATCCTCTGCACATTGATCTAGTTCTTGCACTATCTGCACCTAATGAATAATGCCATATGTTCTTTGTTGCGATGTTATACTACCAAGTATGTTTATTGCAATGGTGGCTTGATTTCTGCTTGGTCGCTAGCTGTAATACTTTATTACACCACACGGAATCTGTAATACTCCCCAACACACGGGAACATTTTAATGATGGTCCATGCAGGCTGTAACAGTCAACTCATGGGAAGTCTAATTCTGGGATCAGTAATGTATTGCATAGTTGTGAACAGGAGAAAGTGACCTAGGACCAGTTTTGTAAGATTGCCTAAACCTAACTATCACGTACCTGAGGCTGAGACTGGAAGATGGGGAGGAGTCTCTTGCAAATCGTGTCCTGCGACCCCTGGAGTTGGGAACAGAAGGGTGCAGGGCAACGAGGAGTGTGCCGCCCCAATAGGGGCATAGAATATGAGATGCATAGCCTCAGTTAATATTAGCATTGTTATATAGGTTAGAATTTATATAGTGTGATTTGCCTAACTATTTTCTCATAGCTAAATTCATGTGTTATCCTATGCTGCCATCTAGTGGCCTTTTGTTGTAACAAACATGTTTTCTGTAATTATTCCTCATGTGACGATGTATTTCCCCCTAGTGTAGGCCCCTTCCTTCTTCCTGTGGGCAGTACTTCCTGTGTCATGGCCAAAGCTAGCAAGCCACATGTAACAGGACACATATATAATCTGCACAGTACGTAGGAAAGGCATCATTTTCTGACCGCACAATACTATAACCGTTCAACTGCTGTTCCTATCATCTGCTGTAACCTGATGTTAAAGAATAAACACCTCTTTTGAATGAATCGGTATTGACGAGTTCAGCTATCTGACGAGGATTGTCCGCAGTGAGTATATCTGCTTATACAGGCCAGGCATAGAGGTCTCAGCAAGGGATATATTTCGCTATCACAACGATCGGAGTCAGAATAAGGAGCACGAGTGCCGTAGGCTGGAAACACCCAATGCGTGGAGACAACAGTGAAGAGAAGTCAGGAAGCCAAGGTCAAATCCGGTCGGGCAGGCGAGGTACAAAATCGTAAGGCAAACTCAATATCCAGGAAACAAGCAGAGGTCAGGGGCTGGCAGCAAGCAGAGAATAGTCCAGAGCAATCCGAGTCAAGGCAGGCTAAAGTAACAGATACAGAACACAGGCACAACACTAAGCTGACAAGACCATCAGCAATGCCAGAGAGGCTGGCTCCTCCTTTTATAGTCCCAAGGCTCACAGACAGTTACCTCACTTCCTGTGCGTTTTCCCGCGCACCTTGCCGCGATTCTCGCGCATGCGCAGTTTGTTGCGATTCTCGCGCATGCGCAGTTTGCCGCGATTCTCGCGGTTTGCAATCGTGCCTTTACATTAAACATGGTGGATGCCATAGCTGATCTCTTTCTGAAAATGTGAGTTGCCTGGCTGTTATGTTTACCTCCAGAACAGGTATAAAATACACTACCACTGCTGTTCCCATATCCCTGGTCCCTTGGATCAGGTAAATCTCCAACATTTTCTGGCAATATCAATACTTGCCTACTCCCTCCTGTTTATCTTTATTGAGCCATCACTATGATTGACTGTCTCACTGGCCAATAGGAATGCGCTTGTGTTAGGAAGAACTGAAAAAGCTTCATCACTATCAGGAAGTGTTGATGCTTTGCCCCATCAGGACAGCCCACCATTCAGAGATGTGGGAAGATTTTAGGCAGTCACTGTAAAGGACAACTGCACCTTTGGTTTAAAAATCTAAATTGTAATAAATCAGCAATGAAAATGCTATACTGGTTTTTCCACATAAACTAAGATTTTGCCATGACTTAACTCCATTGTAAAAATCAACCAAAATGGTGACCGCTTGTATCATCATTAACTGATCATCCAGGTTCTAAAAAGGGACAAGTACATAGATAGCACTTTTCCACTTATTGACCATGGGGAATTTTTTCCTCCCACTGACCACTGAAACCAAGCATGTTTTCTTCTCATTGACCTCCAACGCTGCGACATTTTTCCTCTCACTGATGCTGAGACATACATTACTTAACCAGTACATTCTTTCCTCCACTGACCGGCAATGAAAACAGCACTATGGTACATATTCTGAACAACTTCACTGTATACACTGATGTATGTTACATGGTCCTGACACCTGCAACTCCATAAACTATGCTGTACCTTAAATAGCCCTGACCCTTGTGCTCTGTATTCTGTGATGTACATTACATAGTCTTGACTCCTGCACTTGGCATTTTTTCAGTAGAGTGGATGTATGTAGGACCCAGAATCCTTCATAGTCTTTTTCCACTCACACATCTTACCTTAATTAAGTAGTTAGCAGGGGAGGCTGCTGACTCCTGGAGAGAAACTTCTCAGAGAAGTGGAGGTGAGTGAAACTTCTCAGAGAAAAAAAAAGACTGTTTCTTTTGTTGGTTATAGATTACTCTGTTTGGATAGCCAGGGTTGCTGAAAATGTTTAGTTAGTGCTGTCAAAGAACTAGGATTTTGTTTGTAATTTTCAATCACCTTTTGAGTGTTGTTCAAAGCCACGCAGTGACATGTAATAAAGAAAGACTGTATATATTAACAATTGCATGCTGGCAGCTGGTTATACCTTAGAAGACCGTGTTGTTTGTCTGGAACCAAGTATCCTGTGTGAGTGCTGTATCAATATAAATATAACAAATATATATATATATATATATATATCCTCACTACTCTGTAAGCTTTTCTATACATAGCATACTATGGCCAACCTGTTTTATTTCATCTGGTTCTTGATTGATAAACCGGCTGTAGTTTGCATGCCCCTATCAGCCCCCTCCTCTTGTTTATATAGGCTCTATTCACATCTATGCGATGCAGGATAATCTGTGATGCTGCCCACCATCCTGCACTACGTGTTGCAATTTTTGGTATGCTGCAGTGCCATTTTTTTCAATGGCATCCCAGTTCACCTAGCTATTGCATCACATGGCATGATGGCTTATATGCAGTAGGCAGCCCATTGGAAACCTTTGTGATGTCGCAATACAGAGGTGTAAACAAGGTATTTAAAGTTAGGAGGTATGTAGTAATTGTTCCAGCACCAGCTATGCAATGTGCTTGTTCCAGACCAGAAATAACCAAGGATGAGAATAACGACCTTGAAACATATCAGCAATAGCAGGTCCCCAATGTCTACACTGAGAGGTTTTGTTTTGCACCTAGCACAGTTTGGGCTTTATTTATAAACGTTCTGCTCAGTGTATAGCCTGGAAACGAGCAGTGCTAGGGCTGCGTGAATGGCATCTGACTGGTGTATAGCTTTTATAAATGAAGCCCTATTTCTATCACAGATGTCCATACAGCACTCTCGTATCACTTAAGCTGTCCATACACCTATAGAGTATCTGCAGATTTTCTATGATCAGTTGGAAAAAGTGCAACAGATTCCTCCATCTACGCTACACTGTGTGGATGAAGGAATCTCCCACTGGGCCAAGCTTCAGTATCTTGCTAGTCGCCCCGCTGGCTGTCAAAACACCTGAACAATCTGATTGGATGCAGGCATTGTTCAGGTATTTTGAGAGTCAGCTGGGCCGACTAGCAAGATACTGAAACTTGTCCTAGTGGGGAGGAATCTGTTGCACTTTTTCCATCAGACCATAGAAAATCTCCAATCAGGTGTATGTACTTGCACCCCAATGCACCTTCCTAACACATCTGCAATGCACAGTATCCTACCACCTGTGGTGCACAGTATCCTGTGGTGCACTGAGGAATATGATGCATGCACTGTTTTATTGTCTATTGTTGCGTGTTGGACAACCCGTTGACTTTGAGCCCATTTACACCAGCCCAGCCTGCTGCAGTACACAATTCATTCACATGTACATTTTTGATTGCAATGGCTTGCTGGGTGCACATCTTGCAATGGCAGCGCCTATGAGCAGATCAGGATGACCCTTACTGATTGCTAGCTCTGGGAATACAGATATTACAGCCAGGCAGTCAACATTCTCCTTGGTTATATACATCAGCTCACGTCATTCTCTAGTCTTACGTCCCCTGTCATTTACACTGCAACATTTTATTATAGATAAAGCGGCGCTCAGCAGCTCCAACCCCCGAGTATTTATTTAAATGCCCCAATAATGTGAATGATTTTGCTGTCTACACAGTTATAATGGAGACGCAGCAACAACAACACAGCATAAACCAAAACAAAGCAGAGATCGGAACCCGAAGTAAACGGAAGTGACGAATTACTGAGGCGCCCGCCGGCCGCCCTCAATGTTTACTGAGGGCGCTCTATTCAGTAGCTGTGTATCCGTGGAACGCATTTGCGTCTCAGGCGCGGCCTAGTGATGTCACGGAGAGGGGGCGGACTCTAATTTAAAAAAATACCCGGTGGAAAACTGTTGTAGACAGAGACTGCGCCCTATAGAACCTGCGATCTAACGTGAGTACAGGGCAGGGGGTCACACCGGGATGCGTCACCACATAAGAACGATTATTCGTATTGTACAGATCTCTCTCTATGTGCACTGGCTGGGAAGGTGTGTTCGTAGCATGCTATACAGATGACAGCAGAGCAGGAAAACATCTAAAGAAGGACTCCAGGAGTTATCTTTGGAAATGACCCGCAAGATGTGCCTGTCTGCACTACACATGTTTCAATCTTATTGTACGATCTCTTTTGGGCTCAACACGCTACAATCTGATTGCACGATTTCCTTTATCCTCCCCACACATTGTACAATCTCCTTTAGCACTACCAACAACTGTGTAATGAAGGGGTCAGTCTGATTGGATATACATTGGTTGCATAGCTAAGGCAGGCCCTTGTATTGCATTGTTTTGGTAAATCTGAAGTTGATTGTGAAGGGAATTTATTAAAACTGGAGCAGCTGTGCACGGCAACCAATCAGCCTCTTTTATTTTCAAATCTAAACTGAAGAGAGAAGCTGATTGGTTGCCATGGGCAACTGCTGCAGATTTTGTCTGCTCCAGTTTTGATAAATTCCCCCCTGTCTGCTTAGACTGTTATGTGTATGGTGAGCCTTAGGTTTAGTGTACAGGTCTGTCTGGTTGAGTACATATTGATTGCACAGGGTAGGTTTGTTCTCCTATTCTATAGTTTTGCTAAATGTGAAGTTGATAGAACGGTAAGATTGTAATGTGTATGGTGAGCCTTCCACTTCCATTCAGCGTTCGATCTCATCTTTTTGCAAGGGGGGATAGTACAAATCTGTATAGAATGCCCATTGAGCTGCTTTCCCTTTCTTGACATTCAGGGTCAGACAATAGATAATATCAGTCCTCACACAAGTCTTATAAATATATTAAAAGACTCAAAAATGAAACAATTAAGCATTCTAATCCTCCACTTCTTAAAAAGCTGACTATCCTCTAAAAAGAGATCTCTCTTTTTTTTTTTTTTTAATCACATATCCCAGAGTCTGCTGTACTGTCCATTATTCGTGTAAACGGTGGCACCAAATCTCTCTCACATCCGGTGCTGTGTCTGTATACATATTATTCTATGAATGGGAGACGTAATGCCTCCTGAGATGTGACCTCAGTATCCCCGGAGGCATTACTAACCTCCATTCATTGAACCATTGATAGGTGCATTTGACCTCCTTCAGGCTACTTCTGCATTCCCATAGACTTGCATGAGGAGAGAAGCCGGAGGGTCTTAAAGAAGAACTCCAGGGGGAAAAAATGCTTAACCCTAGCAGTGGCCTACCCCTGCACTGCAAGGGTCAAGTGTTTATTTTTGTCTAGAGTTCCAAATAAAAAAAGTTATGCTCACTCGGTCCTCAGAGATTGCAGGCTTTTGGACTGGGCCTTCTTCGCTTCCCCCTCCACTGCAGCAGTCTAAAGTCCTGTGAGTCCTCATATTCTATACACAATGCAAAGGATGTGAGGTGAGGATGCCGAGGGACAATCCATCACTGCTGGGGAGGGGGAGTGAGGCTGGAGGGAGCACTCGCAGCCACCCAGATCGGATGAGTACAACTTTTTTTATTATTTTTGATCCTAGGCAAAAACGAGCACCTAACCCTTACGATGGGGGG